CTTGATTAGGGTATTAGTGACTTTCACTTCTAGCTAGTGCCGAGCGCTTGGCGAAGGAACACTCACTACCAGTATGTTTACGTCCTAGATATGAGCGCCGCGAACGAGAATTGTACCCGGGCCTCCCGATCACGAAGCGAACGATCTACCACTAGGCTACCGAGACCGATATATTAAGTATTGAAATTAATTGTCAAATTATCAGTTTTGTGTTTTGCTTTCAAATTGTAAAAATCTAAAATGTAATATCAAGCGGATTGATATATTTATGACGTAAATCATGGTGATTTAGGTAACACAAGATTTTCGATATAGATCGTTTTTCAAGTCAAATGATGCTCCACATCCAAAACAAAATTATTCAATGATAAATTGTGTCATTCATTCCATTATTTCAAACGAATTTAAAAATAACTGAGATACAAAACGTAAGGTAATATAAAAATGACCTGTGTTACTTTATAGTTTAGGTCTTATGACATATTTTTACGGAAGATTTGTAAAAATAAAAAATACTGTAGTTTAAAGCATTTTATGAGTGTCTTTTTTTTCTTGAAAGAGTACTGCTAAATGTTTGAAATAAAAATAATGACTGCAAAAATAAGAAGATCAAATTATCAAAAAGTAACCGATCTCTAAAAATTCTTAAAGCAATACAAATCTTCAAGCAGAGCATAAGCTACGTAAATCTGGAGATTTCAAAGATAGAATCAGATACCTACGAGGAGTAAGTATCCCTTGAGCGTGTGATGTTTGGATAGAGATGTCAATTGCTTATGCTCTCTGAAAACTTTTGATATTGACCTTTTATATTGGGAGGCCAAATATGTACTGAAAAGACAATACTTAATATCATAGCAACCCCCAAAAGCTTACCTGTTTTTGTGTTCGCTCGCTGTCCGCAATTTCAAAATTGATATTTTTCTTATCAGTCGACCAATAATATTTTCGGTGACAAACAGCGTGTGATGTGTGCATAGAGATGTCTATTGCTTAAAATCTCTGAAAATTTTTAATATTGACCTTTAATGTTGAAAGGTGTAATATCATCTACGCTTCTACTGATAAAAGCAAGCTAAAAAATATTTTAAAAAATTTAAATGTTTCAAAATTGCGGACCTCGAGCGAAAGTTATTGTTTAAACTATAAGGAGTTTCCTTTTTAATACATTAATGGTAATTCAATCTGAAAGCAAACATTTATATGGTTACAAAGAAATAAGTGTTTATAAGTATTTGTGTTTTTAATAAGAAGTAAAGCTACATTACGAAAAGATAATTACTTCATTTGGATATTGGCCGATATGTATTGCATTAGCTGTTACTTTCACCACAATTGTTGAACAATCTAAATAGTTTTTTTAAAAGTAAGCAGATTGTAGTCTTTTTCAAATTTTATAGGATTAAAACATCATTTTTTATCTTCATGAAGGCCGCTTGTATTGCAATGCAACATATGACGGCGTACAATGTTGGAACCATACGTTAGCAGGAACAACAGCCTTCGGCGCATGCCCAGAGAATCATCCAGCTTCTATAATCTTTGACAATCCATCAGGTAAGACTACAACTGAAAGCAAAACAATGTTTATAAACTATCGCATAAACCGACAGTCTAGTATATAAAGCGCATGGCACAGCTTAATAAACAACCGAAAACCTGACAACGTAATGCATTAAAAATGTAAATATATAGAACAGTGATCGCTCTCATTATTCAGCGTAAACCATTTTTCAATCAATCATTCATTTAAAAATTAATACACATTTGCGAAAAGGGCAGAAACGCGGACCCCTGGAAAGCAGAGGAGGGATCAGGTGCCTGATAGAGGAAAGCAGCCTCTTCTGACCGGTAACACCCACCGTAATCCCTATGTATTGATGACAGACAGAAAAATTCTGTAGTCAAAGTCAGCAAATGAACAGAGGCCTAACAATTTGTATGAAATACGTCATTCAAAAAAAAAAAAAAGACACCCAAAAATATATTACAACTGCTTAAAACGTCATTATGTGTTACAGCATTAATGCTCTTTCAAATAAACCGTGAGAAAATTAATCATGTACATTGTGTAGGCTGTGACAAATAAGCGCTGAAAAACTATATTTTGAAGGACGGAATCTAATTAATGCAACGCCGGGTAAATTAATTTTCATAACGCGCATAATGCTTGCACATTCATATTAAAAGTACATGAGTATATGATTATAATATTTGTTTATTTATCATTTTGGACAAGGTTTTTCAAATTGATTAAATTACCTTGCATAGAAACAAAAGGGAATTTGTCTGATTATAATTTGATAATCAGTATATTTTAAAATTCATTCTTATTTTTCCAACAAAGATAGTTTCCATTATACAATATATACATATCAATGAATTGCAAAGATTGTTTAATATTTGGGTACTGATATAACTGAAGTTGTTCACGAACTCTTTGTAATAATTCATAGTTTCAAATTACGGATAGTTGAAATTTTATTTTTTTTTTATGCAAAAGATAATGGTGATACAATTTGTAATGCAATCTAAGTACACCCTTCGTAATCATTCAGGAGCCTGTCGTTTGATAGTTACCATCGCCGACATGCAATTCAAAATGTCCTAGCCTCCAATACTTTCGATTTTAAGAGTTTACACGTACGTATAACTATAATTCAGCTCTTTGAATTTCGACAGTGTAGTATAAATTGCGCATCGCAAAGCTCATACCCATAATGATACAACTTTTAAAAAAAACAATCGCATCATCTCGGGTCTTTCCGTCAGAGGTCGGAAAAACAACCTCGAATGTATTAACATCACTGGATGTTAAAAATTTATACATTTCTTGTTTAGTCAAATATAGGATACACGGAGTTAGAAGTCCCTTCTGTAGTAAATTTTAGGTAATATCATTACATTGAATTCCACAGATAAAACGTCTCCATACTTTTATTTCAAAGATCGTGGAAAAGGAGTGTTGTCATGGCGTCTACCATATACATTCAAGATCGTTTTTCCGCTAGTCGGAAAGGCCCGAAAAGTTGCGATTATTAAAAACCTGACAATGTGGTGCATTTAAAAGAGTGAACATAACAAACAGCGGTCGGTATCATTAAAAAATAGTCTGTGAATAGGATACATGTATAAACCAGAGCCATGGAAAATTCAGAGGTGGGATCAGGTGCCTGGAGAGATAAACAGCCCCTGCTGATCGGTAACACTCACTAGAGCCCTATGTTTTGAACACGTAGACGGAAACCCCCGTACTCAAATTAATTATACTCAGATTGGTAGGCAGGGTCTGCTTACTGCTCCATGGCACGTGATTCCACCTCTAATGATATGGAGGTCCGTGTTTGCTCCACTCCTATTTTGAAATGTGTAATGGACTTTTGAATTTGAATATTGTTCGTAATCTCCACATATTTCATGACCAAAGGCCTAACAGTTGGTTTGAAATGCGTCATCCAAAAAAGACCTCAAAATAGGTTACTATTGCTAACAACGTCATTATAAGCTGTGGCATAATATCTCTTTCAAATAAACCGTGAGACAATTGGTACTATAGGCTGTTACAAATAAGTGTTGAAAAACTATTTTTGAAGGACGGAATCTAATTAATGCAACAGTAGGTAAATTTATTTTCAAAACACGTATAATGTTTGCACATTCATATTAAATGGTGGTTTGGATGTTTATTTGTTATTATAATGAGTTTAGTTTTTTTTTTTTTTTTTTTTTTTTTGCAATGCTTTTTTTTTTTTAAAATTGATTATTGTACATTGCATAGAAGAAAAGAGGTAAATGATATTCAGTTTTTTTACCTTTCTACTTTTTCCACGCAAAGGATGTCTTCCTGACCAACGAAAGTCTCCATTATACTATAATATATATCAATAAATTGCAAATGTTATTCAATAATTAGGTACTGATATAACAGAAGTCGTTCTTGAAAGGTTATAGTATAAATTTATAGTTAAAAGCAGCTCAAAATTAACATTTTCCTGTCTTTAGTATGAAAACGTAATTCAGCATGAAACTTAACAATACATGTAATACTACTGTTTTACTATTGTTTTAGTATTCATTATTATCGTTTTACTAACAGCGTGATAGTTTGCTTGATTGGGCGTGCTAAAATTTCGTATGCTGATTATCATTTTTACTCATCGATTGGATGTTTGATTTCAATGGAATCAATAATACTTTGCATATGAAACACCGAACCCAGCAACGCCACTGACAATACTGACCAATCACATTGATTAGACAACAATAACGTGAAGGGACAAAGCAAGTTTTACTTTCTATAATGATGACATTGATAGCTACATAGTACAACAGTAGCAGAGTAGTTTTACTAATGCCATTCTTTAAATTTTCTTATACATGTTATAGGTGTTAAAAAACCCATCCAGTCATTTCACAACAAATACATGTATAATACATGCTTTTTTGACGACAGAAAACGGGCTTTGACTGACCACGTGTTGCTCATGACTACAAATGCCGTACTGGGAAACAATCATTCAATGTGATTGGCCAGTATTATCGGGGGATTGTTGTGTTCCAAGTTTCATATGCAAATCAGTATTGATTTCATTGATCCAATCGATGAGTAAAATGATAACGAGCACAAAAATTTTAGCACGCCCCATCAAGCAAACTGTCACGCTGTTTGTAAAATGATAATAATGTATGATATTTTTAAATATCTTTAAAATTTTCATCACTTGGACAATAAAATAAAAAAGTAATTGTGTACCGTTTGATTGCAGGATGAAAGCTTATTTTGCTCTCTCTCTCTCTCTCTCTCTCTCTCTCTCTCTCTCTCTCTCTCTCTCTCTCTCTCTCTCTGGTATCAGTTTAGAATGCAATTTCTCTAAAAGCAAAAAAGCTTAAAAACAAACAGATCTTGCTCTACCATTTTGTCATAACAGGGAATCAAAATTTCTTTTATTTACAACACGGAAAGTGGCTCAAACACATTAATTAACGGCGATGTAAAAGGCGGGTCTGTTATAATGTTTAAGGTGATCAGGGGGTCCATAATTAATAATAATTGCAAATATGTTTCATTTATTTTTATCAATGTTACTCTTATAGAAAATGCGAAATAAACGGAATTTGGTGGAATAACAGCAACTCTGGGAAACACGAGTTTGCCAAGTCCAATTATCAGCCATGTGTTTCACAAGAAGTACTAGAGATGCACAATGTAAGTGAATTAAAGAGAACTCAAGGGGAGTTGTATTTTATAATTTATTATTTAGTTCTTATAATTTTATTCGTTTTTAGCTCACCTGAGCTGAAAGCTCAAGTGAGCTTTTCTGATCACATTTTGTCCGGCGTCCGTCTGTCTGTCTGTCTGTCCGTCTGTCCGTCTGTCTGTCTGTAAACTTTTCACATTTTCGACTTCTTTTCAAGAACCGCTGGGCCAAATTCAACCAAACTTGCCACAAAGTATCATTGGGTGAAGGGGATTTTAAGTACTATTGCTAATTCTAAAACATTATCTAAAATTTTATTTTTAATCGGTATAAGCAGCAATTTTATACTATATTTCAAGCTAAATAAAAACAATGTAGCAAAACTAAATTGTCCCCCCCTTTCTTGTATCATTTTAAAGCTAAATTTTGAAACACTTACACACCTTCCAAATAATTATTTAATCCCCCATCTCATTTTTATTAAATGTAATAGTTTATATTCAGCAATTATCAAACAAAATCACTCCCTTTTTGGTGCTATTTGCAATTTTCCTCACCTCATCTTTATTTTCTCTTTATATTATGTTGACATTTAACTCCATGTATGATCGGCCACCAAAAAATGATTGTAGCAACACGGTGGTTTATTTATTTATTTATTATTTATTTATTTTTAAAAAATAATTAGTAGATGTACTACGTATGTCTACACGATCATACAGAGGCCTGTTTTCCTTATGAGAACAGAGAATAGACGAAATTCGTCTATTGAGGCTGGTAGCACTAGGTGTAAAAAAAGAAAATATGTATTTTCTTATCACCAATTAAAGATTTATCATACTAAGATAAATCAATTATATATATACTGAATACAAACAAGAAGTACTAGAGATGAACAATGTAAGTGAATTGAAAAGAACTCAAGGGAAGTGGCCTTTTATAATTTATTATTTAGTTCTTATAATTTTACTCGTTTTTTAAAATGTTACCACTTTTAATTGCTTCTTTTAACAGATTAAAGAAGACATCCACGATATGAATGTCGAAGTAAGTCCACTGCGTTCTCTTTTTATCATGGTATAATAAAAATGATATTAATCATAGGTTAAACTACACTAAATAAATAAATAAAATCTTTTAAGCGTAATTTAATTCTTCAAATCTGAAGGTTTTACGCAAAGACATTGACAGTTAAATTAAAATTGAATTAAAGTTTTAATTTAAATTAAAATCTATCTATCTCTCTCTGTCTCTCTTTCCCTCTCTTCTATTCTATTATATATTCTTTTTTTCATTTCTGGTACAGAGAATCAAGCTTGTTATGTATGTCTACATGAGTGGTTATGCCGTGTCCATTTTCCTGCTGATCATCGCCTTGGTCATTTTTGGTTTGTTCAAGTAAGTATAGTAAAACACGCTTATATCAAAGTACCAGATGGGACCACTTTTTCTTGTTTGCAACATAATTTCGAATATTCACACCTGTCACGGTATTCTAGTGATAAGGAGGCCCGGCTTTGATTCTCGTTCGCTGCGCCGTGTCAAACCTAAGAGGTATGCATAGATAGTGACTGTTCCTTCGCCAAAATGCTCGGCATGAGAAGTGAAAGTCACGGGTCTTTCGGATATGACCTTTAAAACGTAGGTCCTGTGTCCACGGTAGGCGTTGGCACGATAAAGAACCCTCGCTGTTCAATGACCCTGAGTGCCGGGTATAGTTCTAAAAGTACGCAAAAATGTATTTTTAATCTGAAACAAATTTGCTTTTGGTCAAGTTCTTAATTAAACGTGCATATTTATATTGATTTCGTAAGAACTAAAAGATTAATAGCCCATTCCTCTTTTTTCTAGGCAGCTTCATTGCAGTCGAGTCACAATACATTCCAATTTGTTCATCTCCTATATCCTCAGTGGCTCTATGTGGATTGTATTTTATTCCGAGATGTCATTAAGCAACGTTTCCATTGAATCGAGACCGGTAATTCAAATTCCAAAAAGATATAGCATGTTAAATGTTCCTTTTCTCACAACAAGTCAATATAATTATAAATAATGAACGATTGAAACTGATTGCAATTAAAAGAAATTAAAGAGGATTTATCTTTAATTTGTTCACTAATATATGAATTTTGTTTTAACGCGGATTTATCTTTAATTTGTTCACTAATACCGATATATGAATTTTGTTTTAACGCTAATAAAACGAATTTCCTACAGAGAAAAAAAAGTTGTAGGTAAAATAAACTAAAACACCTTTTTTCTGACAAATTTCCATTTCAGGTATAATATTACTCTGGAAAGAGAGATAACTTTCCAAGGAAATTATTCCAAGCAATTCTATGACTAGTCTTGAAAGATTTGATAAAGAGGACCATAATAGACAACTCTTTCGAGTCTGAACTATCTTATTTAAAATTCTCTCTACCTATTCTCTTCACATGTGATGATTTTTTTTAAGCTTATATCTAGAGAAAATTTTAAATCTAAAAAAATTGAAACTACGAAGGATTTTCCTCATGTTCAAAATTATTTTAAAAAACATACCTTTTAAAAAAAACTTTCTTTCCTTGATGTTTAATCTACCGTTTGTTTCAGACTTGGTGTTATGTTTTACACGCCTTCACACAATACACAACGCTCTGTAATTATGCCTGGATGCTGTCAGAGGGTATATTCCTACACTTTTGTTTGGTTCACGTATTCTCTGAAAAAAAGAAATTGCTTATTACATGCTGTGTCGTTGGATGGGGTAAGCGCTTCCTATCAACTGTTTACATGTTTATACCACGTGTTATTTTCGCCTTTCTTAACTATTTTTACTTTTTTTTCATACAGTTTTATTTTACATATGATCTTTCTTTTGTTAATATCCCCACTTATTATACGACGAGAAAAGGCAAAAATATAGAGCTGACGAAAAATATCTCTGTATTTAGTATTTATTCACCGATTGTTAGTTTCTTTTATAATTTCAAATAATGCTATTAAAGATTATATGTAATCTGATTAATGAAAAAGAAATAAACGTAAGAATTTTAATTTCAAGCTCTTTCTATGTTAACTTCTCTCACTGATTAAGTATACTCGCATATTGATTTCCTTTTATTGAACTTAAAACACTGAATTTATAATAATTCATAAAAGTAATTGCTACTGATGAAGTGTAAGACATGTATATTTTTAATGACGAATTTTTTTTTCTATTTTCAGTTGCACCAATCTTTTTTACTGCTGTGTATTGCGTGGTGCGCATCATTGACGGGGAGAAAGAAAATCACGGGTATTTCATTTATATCTTTTATATCAATTTTATGCCATATTCTCTTTGTAATTTATTATTATATAAGGAATTTTTACATGTACATTTATTTCAGATACTTACGAGGGCCGTTCAAAAAGTACGCAGACTTGTTGCACAGAAAAAATATTTGACGTCATAATCGGGCAAAATGTCACACATAATATAAAAGAATCTTTACTTATAATGGTCTTCAAAATTTCATATAAAAATGTTGTATATTGGTATCAATTTTGAGTGATTTTTCAGGACATATCAATAAGTCACGGAGCTGCAAAATCTTCGACGTCACAGGCATTATAAAAAATATGTGACTGAGCTTTCATTTTCTCAACATTTTCCAAAGAGTACCTGTACAGTTTAAGTTACCTTATCTACTCAACATCCAAACACCATTTCTTCTCAAGCTTCAAACCTATTAAACAAGTAAAGAATATTCTTTTTTCTTTTAAAATAAAAAACTACAGGTATTTATAAGGTGACTCTTAATCACGTTTTTTACAGTCCGGATAAAGTTTTCGTCGATAATCTTCTTCCCGTCCTCCCGTATAGCATTTTTACAGAGGTCTGATGGTCTAAAATTTCAATTTGCTATTTGTGGACGAATGCCTCGAATACCCTAGTTTAATACATGTTTTATTATGCATATTCTGGATCTATGCTGGCGATATCTCGAGCATTACACATAATTTAACGGAAGTGTGGTGCGCTGTCAATTCTGGAGACGTCATTTTCACAGTCGTTTTTACGGGAATGGCATCAGAAAAAAATCACTATATTTCTGTTAGTACTGCAAATATCACGTTAAAAGTCTAAATATATAATAATAATAGAACAATTCAAAGATACATTTGAGAAAATTGTTGAAAAATATCGCGAATTATAGAAAATTAATGAGTTGGATTCCGCATGCTTTTGCTTCAAATTTTTTGTCGTGCTCCGTACCTCTCCATCAGCAATATCAACATACCGATAATTTTTGTAGAATTTTTTTTTTTAATACAGAAATTCTGCCCAAAATTTATTGAAATGTTTAAGATACATATTTCTGTGAAAGAACGAGGGCGCTTTTGATTGGCATTCAGCAGGAATCTGGGCGTACTTGCAAGGTGAATTTTTTTTCGACATGTCACATGAAATTTTAACATTTTTTTATTTATCGTGTTCCTGTGCAACAGGAAAGGAAAATATTTTTCCGAAATTGAGCTTTGATTTGCCAAAAAATAACTTGAAAATTGGCCAGATCAGACATTTTGTACAAAATGGTACATGTTTAAACACGTTTTTCAAAACTTTTTCTATCTATGGGTCTTCTCTCCATGATTTTTAAACGTTATTTGTGTGTACTATAATTCAAAGAAACGAATGCACGTTTTTAAAAAATGGAGAGAAGACCCAGAGACCACGAAAAATGAACTTTTCCCCAAAAAATCCAAATGTGTGAATGTGGTGTTTCTTTGTCTTTTTAAAATCCCCTATATTTGCGTAGCGGTGTAGCTCAGTAACTTGGGCTGCCTTGTTAGTGCACTCGAACAAAAAGTTTTTGGTTCGAGCCTTGCGTGGGGCGTTAATTTTTTTCATGGAAAAAAACCATTTATATTGTCAGTTTCGTTTTATGTACTGATGTATTAAAATTTTGAATTAGATAACCTTTGGTTTAGTTTGGTTCTCGAGCGAAATCAATTCCAATCTTCTATTCTATAATGTTCATGTACATGTATCATGCATCTATGCATTAAATATTTTAAGTGTTTATTTTTTGTAAACCTTAATATGTTATAGTACGCCCTCAGAAAAACAGACATAAATGTTACAATCTCACAAAGTCTTTCAAACTAAATGAAAAAAAAAACTATGGACGTGTTTGTGAATCTGACTAGCTATGTTCAGCCAACCAAATCATGGACATTTAAACCTTAAATGTTCGTACAAACGATTCCTGCAGATCACACACCAAATGCGCCCATCTTCTTTCATAACTATATGACGTCTGTAAGAGTAAATAATAGCACAGTCCGCGTAATTTTTGAACGGCCCTCGTATTTTGATTTGTTTCTTTAATCCTGCCAACCCCTTCCAAATTTCAATTCCTACTCTTGGGAGCTTAAAAATTTCACCCCCTTTATATAATCCTATAAGAATGTATACACTGTACATCTTCTTACAACAAATCACAGTCACAAAAAAGTCTATTTATAGACTTGTGCCTTTTCTTTAAATATCTAGCACAGGTGTTTACATGTCCATAACATGGCTAACGGCGGATGTGGCTGGTAAATAGGGGATGCTCACTTTTCCTAGACATCTGATCCATCCTATGGGATTTACAGGATTCGTGTGTTTTTCCCTGTTCATAGATTTAATTGTTTCTAGATTTTTTAATCGATCTTATTCATTATTATCACCTTTTTTTCCCTCCGCTTGAAAAGTGGGGGAATATTAATTTGGGTTTGTCCATCTGTCCGTCTGTCCGTCTTTCTGTCTGTCTGTAACGCTTTCGTTTCCACACGATATCTCGAGAACCCTTTGAGCTTTTGCAATGAAATTTAGCATAGCAACTCCCTATTGACTAAAGAAGAACCCTATTGATTTTGAGGTCAAAAGGTCAAAGGTCAAGGTCATAAATAAGCAAATTCTGTCTGTTATAATACTTTTCGTTTCCACACGATATCTCTAGAACCATTTGAGCTATTGCAATGAAAGTTTACATAACAACTCCCTGTGGCCTAATAAAGACCCACTTGATTTTGAGGTCAAAATGTCAAAGTTCAAGGTCGTAAATTTACACATTCTGTCTGTGTGTAACACTCGTCTATCATTTCCGGGCGATATTTCAAGAAGATTTTGAGCTTATTCAATGTTATTTTATACCAAAACTCCCTAGGACCTCTCTCACCCCTGTCAAAGTGCCCCGCCCCGTTTGTTTTATCAGTATTTATAGTATTACATGTCGCTGTTTTAGCACAGGGGCATGAGGAGGGTTATTGCGTATAAAACAGGTTCTCGGCGGACTTTATGTTCTTATTACATCTATTAGAACTGTTTAATAAAGGCTAAATAAATCAAACACCATGGATTGTGTAAAATACCGAACATGACTATATATATACATGTACGTGACTTCACTTCTGATATACTTAACTCCATGTAAAGCGATTCCGTGGTCTAGTGGTATGTTTCTCGCTTCCAATGTGAGAGGTCCCGAGTTCAAGTCCCGGTCGGACAACTCTTTTTTTTTTGAAATAGTTTTTTTTCACTAAATAATAGCATTCAGCACGCGAAATGAAAAATTTACTAGGTCTGGCTTGTACAAACTCATAAAATCATCATTACAGTGTGATAAATATTCCATATAAAAAGAATCTTCTATACACATAATAAAGAATAAGCAATTAAATCTTTATATCCATATTGGTGTATTTTATTTGCTTCAGTATACATGCATCTATACATTTAATAATTCTACAAATTCAGTCAGGGGGATCCAACTCCCCCCCCCCCCCATATAGGACTGCGATGTTTTACTTTTTCCTTAAGCGGGGGACACAAATTCTCTGAATTAGCTTGTTTTTCTTGGACACCAATTCTTCCAAACATCTGCTGGAATGGCCATGTACACTTATCATGCCTCTTTATAAGAAGATCTATTAAACAGAGATTTATCAGATAGCTTGGACATGTGAAAAGAAAAGATTCTGCAGGGAATAAACTCGAAATTAGATATACCTAAGAGGTTTTAAAAAAGCAATAGTTTCTTTATTTCATATAATATATAGTTATCAGATATAATTAAAATATCTTTAAAAACTCAAAATTAAAGACACTAAAGAGTCTGCCATATCTGTTTCATAGCTGGATGTTTTATAGACTAAAAATAAAACTGAAAAATTCATAACTCAACTGACGAGAAAAAGACACTACTTCAGCTTTTCTGATTTCAACTTCTTTTATGTAGTAATCTTTATTTTTCAACAACACTTACATATAGTGTTTATTTCTCCAAACTGATTCGATGAACAAGTCCATGCTCTGACTACTTTCAATTTTTAATCCGAGATAAGCCACTGACAAATTAGTAGATGTTACAAGTATTTCAATAACCACATATAAGACCAACCTTTCTACAATTGTTCCACTTTGATTACCACTATCGGTATTTCCCTGCCAACCAAACTCATAAGTCTGACATATTAAAGTAGCTTTTTTTCATTTTACAGGTGTTGGTTGGAAATTCAATGGTCGTTTTGGATTCTTTTAGTGCCTATCATTATATCTTTATTGGTGAGAGACTAGTTTTATTATTATTTTTGGAACTAATTCCTTTATGAGATATCATTTTCCGCGGACAGAAAATATTATATCATTTTATTTAAACCCTTTACAGGAAATTACTTTTATAACCTTGGTTTAATTATCACTTTCATTGTAGCTCAACCTGATCTTCCTTATCAATATTTTGAGAATCATATTATCAAAGATACGATCTTTCAACCAGAGAGATTCCAACCAGTTCAGGTAGGCTCAATTATGTATAATACATTACGAAATTCTTTCTTTATTATTACATAAGTATTGGAAAAGAGTCAATTAAATAGGGCAGTTTTTCATATCACGATATAAAGCATTCGTTATACAGGAAAAAAAGTGAAACCTCGATCAAATATCAAAAGCAGTTAGACTCATGTAATGATATTACTCAACTCAGTTGAGGGGTTGTTTTTACGACAACAACCCTCGTTCGTTGTAGTTTTTACCTTGTTGACTTTCGACGAGTCTTTTTACGTTACTTCATAATATAGATAAGGGGGTGGGTTTTTTTTTGTTTGTTTGTTTTTTGTTTTTTTTTTTTGTTTTTTGCTTGGCGCGTTTCATATATTGATATGTACCGACTGAATTGAACTCTTCTCTCTAATCTATCGTTTGAAAACAGATTATATAACTATTTTAAAAAATCCATTCATTACGCCAGAATGTAGGCTTAAGATAATTAAGTTAAATGTTGTCATTTTATTTTATAGATTGATTAAGAGAAACATCAGCCAATTTTGCATACTGAGTATTGTGAGTCGTTTAACTCATTTTCTTAGTTTTTTTGTTGTAGAAAAACCGTTCGCGCCATCTTTATACTCGTTCCTTTGCTGGGGTTACAGTATATACTAATGCCACTGAACAACGACTCATTTATTTACAAGATCACTGTCGCAGTAGTGACATCCTATCAGGTATATATACACTGTAATTCGTTTGATATATACAGCCTTTTTGTACTGTAAGCATTTTTCGGAAAACGTGTTCCAAAGACAAAAATGAACATATTTTTATAATAAAGAGCAACTTATAGTTCTGGATTGTAGAAATAACTAGCATATTCCTCTAGGAAAAAGTGATCAGGAAGCAAAATGCAAAAGTATGTTAATGTCATGAAAACTTTATTTAATATATAAAGAAAAAAGTGAAGATAGCGAACAGTGATAGATCTAAAAAAAAAAAAAAAACAAACAAACAAACAAACAAAAAACAAAAAAAAAAACAAACATGAAAAATCTGTGCATTTGGGCATAAAATGTGAACCCCCTAAGAAGGATTAGATTATTCAACTGCAATTTAAAATATATACATCTTTATTAATTTCCTAAATAATAAAGCACATGAAATATGCATTGCTTTGCAAATTGCATAATAGATCGATAAAACGTGTTTGTTATCAAAAAAAAACCACGCGACAGGTATGACCTATCGAAAGGGTATGTTTAGTCTTTAATAACCATGATCTGGTCTTTTTTTAGAGGTAAACTTGTATTTGTCCTGTGCTCCCAATTAGTATTGTATCAAAAGACCTTTGAGTTAGACTTTTGTTCAATATCTGCGAATTTTAAAAGTTAGAAAATTGGATATGTGAACGGTTTACGTAGGCACAATTTTGAACCGAGGAGGACTACTGACAAATTAGTTGACAATACTAATTGATTTCGGTTAAAAGCATTTTTGCAAATTTTTCAAATTAATGAATTGCCACTGTTTGCAAGTACAACCTGCCATTAAGTTTAATGTTGATTGGTTATTGATAAAAGTTGAATGTTTACCGATGAATATTAAAAGTTGAATGTTGACCGATGAATATTAAAAGTTGAGTGTTGACTGATAAATATTAAAAGTTGAATGTTGACTGAAAATTGTAAAAAAAAAAATGTAAGGCCATTATTCAAAGCTGTGCTGGATTGTCTAGACATGTTTACCCTCTTTTCTTGTAGGGTGCAGTTATTGCCGTGCTGTTTTGCTTTCTCAATGGCAAGGTAAATTTTTATTCTTTGAAATTTAAATAAAAGAGAAGAGGGGTATTCCTCAAAATATATTATCTTGATTATGTATACATTGTATATCAAAACTCATGCAAATGTAGTTTTAAATACTTGTACCCTCAGATTTGAGAATGATTTACTATGAAAATCTATTTGATATATGCGACAACAGTTATTTGGCAGTTAATATAAATATAATGTTTTCTTTGATTGGCCTTTTTCAGGTTATAAATCTTATTAAAAGAAAAATAAGAACAAAACAATGGCATACTGGTTCACAACGTCTTCCACAAAGAAGTTCTCTTAGATCGAGCTCAAGAAAAAGCAATTCATCCAAGAAGGAGGAATATGAATTAAATGATAACAAGGGTTCACGAGCTGCATTCCTACCAATAAAGACATATGGAATCGAACACTGATTGTCATCTCCCTCGGGAGATGACACATTAAGATTGTATGCCGGAAGTGAAGTCCTAGTGTAAGCCTCCATTAATCTTTCGGGAGTCCTCGATGTTTTACAGAGTTCCAAGTAGCCTGTAAACTTGGTTTTCTAGCTTAGGAGTGTGTGATCTACTTTCGGTTTAGGCCTATTTGAAAGCCATTTAGAAAAGTACGATCTATAGTTTCGGTGTGTCGTATATATATTGATCCTCAGTACTATGCCTTATTAAATGGGTAAGCCACACAAGGAGAATTGACAATGACGTGATTTCTATATATAGATTTGTTGACGGGAAGGGAAAACTGGTTCTCGCACAAAAGAACAAGCTTACAATTTTATTTTAATTTTTCAGTCTGTAATTGGATTTATTAAATTAATTCCTGTCAAACTTTAATGATTAGCTGCTTTTAAATGAATGATAATTATTGTTGATAATTCCGTATTGTGTTAAGAAAATATGGTTCAAGGAAAGTATTTTAATTTAAGTAAATTGCAAACAGGCAGAACCACAAAGACCGCTAGAATGAAATTTCACCAAAAATCGCCTTGGGTGCTCTCGCAGACGTCCATGCTTTCCAAATATATACTGCGGCCAAAAGAAACCGCGTACTTTACTGTGGAGTTTGCTGAATAAGTCATTTGGGAACTTCAGGTGTAATAATCCATATATTCATTGCATAAAAATATCTCCCTTTCTGTTTTATTTCTTTGACATTATTGATACCAAAGAGATGACATTTCAGGCTTTCTGGAAAGCCAAACTTGTATATGTGCTATCCTTGATTATTTAAAAATGGTGGACAAAGAGCAGACTAACTTGTTCAACTGTTTGGAAATAAGTTTTTAATATATGTTCTTCGTTCAGGTTCCTTGTGTGAAGAATTCAGCTAACATGAACGGAGTAAAAATTTCTTTTTTCGAAATTTTTTCTCGAAATTCTGTAATCTAAATCATTTCAGAATTAAATGTATATACAGCTCAACGCACTTTTCAAACTCGCATGGTTTTTCGCACAAATTAAGGTCACATTGTTATAATGCAAATTTCTTTAACGTGACAACAATATATATTTCAAAAGTGATTTATAACTTCATTTTGCTCTTTTTCCATTACTTTAAACATAATTGGTAGGATTTTTATATGCTCTTAATTAGATTATGACAAGTCCCAAATGATTTTTTCATGGTTTCTCGTCAAATGCAATCGTCTTTGTATCCGTTCATTTTAAAGCATACTTTTGCCTTGCCGAGATACAGAAACAGTGCAGTTCATGTAACTTCTGTATTTTCTGTACATTAAATTGACACTAAGGCGCAAGATGATAGAGGACCTTTTCATCTGTTCGACTGCTTTCCATGATAAAAAGATGGTATTTTTTCTGATTAACTTTCTGAAATCTAACATCATGAAAGATACCTTCCAACGAAAAATTATAAGTTTCAGACCATAAATATTAAAGAAATTTCTTTTCAATAGTAACAATGTACTATGTTGAAAAATAAACAATACTTTATTATCCAATCCTTTAACATGTTTTCTTTATGCAGATTTGTCATTTTTCAGCGCTGCATCTCGACAAAACCAACACAAATATTGAAAATGTGCAAAGTACTTGGTAAAATTTCTCATGAAATATTTAATAATGTAAGGGTTATGTCTCGTAGTTAACCTCGATAATTTTAAGTTTTATTGCAAGAAAATGTGACCTTAATTTGTGCAAAAAACCATGTGAGTTTAAAAAGTGTGTTGAGCTGTATACAATTAAATAATGTATATTCCCTCTGTCACAATTATTCTAAAATAAATAAATCCCTATCAGATGGTGTCATCATTTAAGGACTTCCTTTAAAACAAACTATTTTCATTATTGAGATTTTATATACAGATAGTCTAAGTTTGTAAATATTTATTGTTTTTTAAGTAAATATTGAAATAACGATTTTTTAATACTTGCATTAAAAATTAAAAAAAAACACAATTGGAATTATTTTTCTTTGCATTTTCGTATTCTTTATATACAGCATACGTCAAAGAGTATATTTCTTGCACTGTGATGATTGTTTGTGGAAGGACCTGAGATTAGAACCATTTCACACAGAGTTTGGACTTTCAGTAAGGCGTGGCATTCTCTACGTTACATAATTAGCTTCAGATCTGAAATTTACACAGATTTCCTTCACTGTTGAAATATACATGGGATAGAAATTCAGGCAAATGCCAATAAGTGTATCGAATAACCAATTACATTGTTTCATCCTGCACAGAGGTGGAGCTTATGTAGTCGCATCATTGTCAACAATTTAAAGTTCCTGATGTTATTAATTTCTTAACCAATGAGAACCTGTTCGCCATTTGGCAGGCGGTAAACATGTAGCGCCGAGAATGCCAAGCCTTACTGAAAGTCCAAACTCTGTGTGAAATGGTTCTATGTGTATTCTATCTGCCTGTTTGATTGATTGATTATTATCGAAGAAAAGACAACACAAAATTCTAATTATTGTTATTTCCATTCTTATGTCGATACGATATATCCCAGTGAGTTTGAAATAAAAGATACCACAGAGTATGACACATCTGTTTCATGCATATGTATTTAGATATTTTACTTTAAAAAGACGTTAATAGACTTAGTTATCTAACTATCAAGTTTTATGATAAACGCGATGACCTTTACTTTTCAATCATAGACTTGCTTGCTTATGCAGGGATATTCCTTCATCATCTACATACGTTGTTTATATGTCTCAGTTAATTCGATACGCAAGCACAAGCTCTGTGTATGAACAATTTCTAAAACGAGATACTAAATTATTGACTGACGAATTGCTGAAACAAGAATATCGGCTTTCTCGCATAGTCATTTTTTCGTAAGTTCTATGGTGGAAATAATGACCTTGCAATTTATCATTGAATCAAATGCTGATATCTTGATTTTTTTTAATTCATATTCACGAAAACCAATAAGAATTAAAACAAAATTTGCAATATTTCCAGCCACAAATTTATATTTTTAAATACATATATTTTTCATTTTAACATCCAATTTCTAAGTAAAACAATATGTCAGCCAAAAAGTTTACACATAATTACTCACATTCTTTATATGCCTGGATAAATTTTTTAATATTTAACATTTAATATCGGCAGTCTACAAGGTTTTTTTTTAATTATTTAAGGTCATACGCAACGTAGTTTGAACTTTATTATGTTCTTCCCTGGAGTTGAAGAGTTCCACTAAAGAAAGGACCCATGTGCAATACTTTTCATGTCTATATATGGATTTGTACACCTCTTCTAAAACAAATTTTGATTGAAAAAATCTGGAATTTATGTTACGTAATTTTATTATATTTTTCTTTGAATAATGCAAAATTTTTCATAATTTAATATCTTCCAAAAACCCCTGGTAATGTATGCTGATTTTTTATCTATGAACATCTGATGGCACTATAATCTTAAATTAAGAATATCTTGAAAAAATATCGGTAGGTAAGGTACCTTGCGTATGTCCTTAATAATGGACAAAAAGCAGCATTGAATGTTTTCAGCTCTTTGCGTGATACAATGAAGCGCACTGAAGTGGTAAAATTTTCCTATTGGATGAAACGTTCTGAGTCATGTTTTGAACGTCAATTATTACAGAATGACACGCCTATTTCTTAAAATAGAAAGGAACAAGAAATATTCGTCGTAATGTTTTAGCACACCCCTCTCTTTGCGAAAAGCAACATGACTTTCACTGAAATTGAGATTTTTAAAGTTAAAGGAGAGATTTGGAGAGTTCTAGCTTCTATAAAATACGTATTGCAACAAATTTGTACATAATTATGAATTTATCATGTTTATTGTGTCTTTGAATTTGATTGGATATTATATTTTTAGAATACCTGTTCTACAGGTATTCCAATGAACCATTTGATTTTTACTTTCTATGGGCGTGTCATTGTATGACAATAACGTTGATAGCCATATAATTTTACCACTTCAATGCGCTTCATTGTATCAGTCTTTACAGTTCAAAAATAACTGGTTCTTTCATGCATATTCATGAGAATATTGACCATATAATTTTGTATTATTTATATACACACGATAAGTTTACGTATCTTTATATTTTTAGTTTCAAAGCATTTCATTGAAAAAGAATATAAATCATACCTGTGTCAAGTAAATTTCTCTATCTCTTTATTGCATGCGCACACTTGTGCATGCACGTGTCTACATGTGAACACTTACCTTGTCTACATTTTGAGAATCATCCGTCGATCAGTGTCAGGGAAAGACTGCTTTCTCCGATTCCTCTTGTGTCGGGTTGGTATAACTGTTAGAATATAATTCCTTTTTCGTTTTCCTTTATTTCAATCTCATTAAATTAATCGAAGCCATATTTTTTTGTATTTATTCAAAATTTTATTCACAAATAAAAGTGAATGGGATTGGGCAGCAGGCAAAGCCTATTTAATCCCTTTTTTTTAAAATTCCATAAGAAACTAGTTATGCTTGAATGAAACTTTATTTATGAGCAACATAAATTTTATTAGAAGAGATAAAAACTTCATATGCTCTAAAACAAATTGATAATAAAACTTATTAAGACCTGAAACGAAATGTTTACAAAAGAGTTTCAACAGGCGATCTCAATAATAGTCGCCCGCGTGGTGCATTGGTTAGAGCGTCCGCTCTAGAGTCGCGAAGTAAGGAGTCAATCCTTACGTCGCGGGTTCGAATCCCACTGTGGGACGTGGAGACCGGTCCTTCGGATGGAACAGTATAAACCGAGGTCCCGTGTCGCAGTAGGTGCTGGCACGAAAAAGAACCCTCCCTGCTCAATGACCCTGAGTGCCGAGTATAGGACAAAATTTGCAGCTCTTCACTGGCAGTTTCTGGCGTCTCCATATAAGTGAAAAATTCTAGAGAGGGACGTTAAACAATATACAATCAATCAATCTATCAATTAGAAATCGAGGAACTTTTACATAAATATACAATAAGTAAAGAGATTACTTAAAGTATGTACAGTGTATCTACAGAAAACCTTACCGAAAAGATTTTCTGAATGTTATTAAATCCAATTTGAATATTGAAGC